TATTTGTGCACAAGAAGGCTATTGTTTTTTGAGTGTTGACCTTGTATCCAGCTACTCTACTGAATCTGTCAATTAAGTCTAGAAGTCTTTTGGCTGAGTTTTTTGGGTCTTCTATTTAAAGTATCATATTGTCAGCAAATACTGACAGTTTATCTTCTTCTTTTCCTATCTTTGTTCCTTTTTCTTTTCTAATTGCTATGACTAATGTTTCCAGAACTATATTGAACAGGAGTGGTGATAGTGGGCATTTAAATATGCAGTGAAATAGCCTATAGTTGAAAGAGTTAATTATTTAAAAACAATTGACATTTTTACTCATGGTTGCAGACTGAGTCTTCACAGGCAGAGAATTTTGATGGCTACTAGTAAATCTGTAAAATATATTGTTAAATGAATCTTCTTTTGGAGGCCCATATTACCTGAGTTAAATTGCTACATTTAATTTATATATTTTATCAGTTTTCCTCCTCTTTCTGTAGCATATTACCAATTGTATAATTCTGTTTATGTGAAGTTTCTCTTATGTTCAGTTTTTATTTCACAGAATTACTGTCGCTAAAGGGTTTGTGAATATCAGCAAATCCACTCTTATGTCTATAGGCAAAATCCCAGAAGAAAACTTGTTGGTATTATTTTGGAAATCAGACAATGTGTTCACTTTCTCTTTTTAATATTTTGATATTTAGTAATATTTATTATTTGTAAAACATCATCATTATTAGTCATGAGAAAGAGTCAACTTGACCTAATGGGGAAAATAGAGTATTTCATGTAGAGAATATGGCATAGAATCAGTTCTGGCATTAAATAACTATGTGCATTTCAACAAGTCACAAGATATATGCATTGTAGTTTCCTCCTCTCTATAAATAAGCACATCTCTTTTATTGTAAATGACCACCACGATCAGATCTCTTTATACTAAGTTAAGTGATATATTTCTGTTAACAATCTACAATTTTGAAAATGCTTGAAAAGAGAACTTTTAATGACAATTATAAATATAAATATAATAAATATATAAATATATAAAGAGGGAGAAGATCAAGGATTTCACAGAGCACAGTTTATTGGGGGCACTTACAGACAGAAGCATGGTCTTGGATTTCATCAAGACCCAAGTCTCAAAATTAGGTTTCAGATTTATTTCAAAATTAGTTAAGTAGAATTGTATATATATTGATCAAGACAAAAGTAATTTCATCCAAGTCAGGATGTACCTGGTTTAATCTTAAGCTCATATGATGGATTTGGGCATATTCCTGGCACCAGGGTCTGATTGTAAGGGTCTATATATCACTATTGGTTTTGCCTACTTATAGTTTGCTGGGAAACGTGCAGGAAAAACCATGTTACCCAGGAGCAGTCATGGCCATTACAACTCAAGATGGGAGCAACCATGTTAAGCTGAATCCACACATCCCACTCCTTGTAACTGATTTTTAACAAACACTGGAGAGAATGTGCTCTGTGAAGAAAACTGCCAGAATCTAGCCCAAACAAAGTTGTCCTAAGGCACAGGGAACAAAGCCTGCATAACATAATTCACCTTGAGAATCAAGTCCATCATATCTGAGACATGAACAGTGTTGCTGTTATGAACTGTAATGGCAGACATAAGGCTTGTGTAAGCATTTTCTTGTAGTCCACATGGACAAGGAGGATATAGGACAAAGAATAACTTGCAAGGAGAAAGTAGAATGAGTTATAAAAACAGTCTTGTTTTTGTTGAGCCACATTTAAGACAATCAGAGTTTAATGGAAGGTACTTTGAGAAGAGCTGATGTCCTGCTCTGACACTAGAGAAGCCTCTTAAGTCAAAACAATTGAGATAATAAGAATAACAAATGTTTACTTGGTATTTTCCATTGCTAGAGACTTATCCACTCCATGTTAGTAGGTAGGTAGATGCCATTATTATTTCTATTCCACAGATGAGGCCTAGAAAGATTGAGGTGGGATATGAAAGGTGGCTTCAGGATCTACACTGCTAACCACCAAACTAACAAGTGAGGTTCATGAATCCTCACGAGGAACTCATGACCTTCTTACTTATCAATATAGCATTCACTGATAGACTCTATGTAGATGTTGAGCTAAGCTTATCAAAAATTCTATGCACTACATTTTTATTAGTAAAAATTTAAAAATCATGGCACTAGTCTTCAGTCATCTACATTTAACTGCTTAGGGATATGTCCTGGGAAATCTGGTTTTCAAAACTCCCCAGGTGATCTCTATGTCCAGTTAATGTTAACAAATACTTCCTTAAGTCTTTTCTTTCTACCTCAACATCCCTTGGATAAAACGCAATGGTTTTCAAAGTTTGGATCTGCAAATGGCAGCATCAGCAACATCTGGATGCTTGCTAGAACTGCAAATTCTATGGCCCCCATCTAGGCCTCTCAAATTGAATCTTTGGAATGGAGCCCCTCAATATTGTGCTTTAACAAGCCTTCTACCTAGTTTTCATGCATGGTAAAGTTTGAGAACCATTGATTTTAGGCAATTACTACAACTTACTTGTACATAAGAAATTTTTATATTTAAGTCATTTATGTTAAATATTAGATTGCCTAAATTGTTATTTCCCCCCTTTGCAAGCCAGTGTTGATGAGTTTACCTATTGTATTTATTCTTTTTCACCTGTCTAATCTGCCTCATTATTAAATAAGATCTTGCTAGGTTTCTTGTAGGCTTATATTGATGGATTTTGTTTAGATGAGATTGCATAGTAAAAATTATTCTGGATTTTTCCTCAGTGAGACTCAAATAGGAATTATGAACAATTTATCATCTACCAATTTGCTTTGATAGTATAAATAGGAAATATAGGCAAACAGATTTGATTAGAAAGCTATACTTCCAAAATTAAGTGAAGAGTTAAAAAGTGGTATATAAAATCGAATCTGTTACTTTTCTTTTTTTTTTGTTGTTGTAAATTGTAGTAATTGTTGCAGTTAAGGAGGAACATGCTTGGAAAGCCAGATGGCAGTTTAGACAAGGTCAGAATCATTATTTGATAAGGTCATCACATTGCTGGGTCTGATTCTTGGCTTTGCAGGCTCAGAAAGTAATTTTTCAAGCTTGTCCGGAAGTGACATCCTCTGGGCATTTTTACAAAACCAAATCCCTAAGAGACTGGTGTGTTGTCCAAAGTTTTAACTTATTAATTCTCTATTTTAAATATTGAAATTTCAGGTAAAATAGAATGTTTGTCTTGGCATGAATGAACTCTTTCTCCTCAGCAAAACTTCAAAAAAGACAAATTATAATCAAAAGGTTGCTTGGTGAGCATAGAGCCAGTCCAGGAGGAATGAACTGGATGAACACATGTCTATTACATCTGCCTCCACTTGGGCTGTGCCATAAGAGAGACTGGATACTTATTTCTTGGATCAGGGCATGCATTCTTCTGGATCATCTTGGATGCTTTCTCTTTAAATATCCTTTACTGTCGCTCTTTCCAATAATATATATAGAATATATATTACTATGTTCTGTCTTTATAATAGAGACAACACAGTTCATTTGATTATACATTCTAGTATCCCTTTTTTGATAGGACTAATCCTAATTTTAATTAATACAATTTGAATATTACCAAACTCCCCAGTCAACAATTCATAGGGTGTTCTTTATGGTCAGTAATTTTTTTTATTTTACAAGAAACCATTCTAGGTTGTTGCATGTTGTATATTGATTTTCCATGTTTTCATTGTATTTTAAAATTATAACTTGGATGCTATATATGTGATTGCTTGTAGGAGCAGAGGTGAGTGAGATGTTTGGTTGTTGTTCTGCTGCATTTGATCAAATTTGGCAAACCATTATTTGTGAGAAAAAAATGTATGGTAATATTAAGGAATAAACCTCTGCTAGTTGTAATATAGTGCTTTGGCACTTAGACGTTTTAATTTTCCATTTATAGAAAGAACACTAAATGTGCTTTCTTTGACACAGATTTTTAAAAACCATTTATTATTCCTGACTGTCCATAAAAGTAAAATAAGAAACATAAATCGATTTAAGATATTCTTAAATGATTGTACATACGGAATTCTATTCTTCTGAATCATTATTTAACTTAGAGGCACTGACAGGTGTGTTTGCAACATAATACCAGCATCAATGCCATCAAAAGCATTGATGAAGCTGTGTTTACTTAAAAAGTGCCCCGTTGATAATCCTTTTACAAGTTTTTGTGATGTTCCATTCCTATTTGACTACTCATATTTATGCTTTATTTTCTCCCTTGAATCACAGGTAGCTGGAAGGTAAAAACTTTCCTTCAAAGACAGCAGGAAGTTCTGGCTAAAGGAGTTCTATACAATATGTGAACTGATTACCAGCATCTCAGTGCTTTGAAATTTTTCCTGTTCATTTGGAGGTAATTAGCAATTTATCCATCTTCCCTTACATTGCTTGGTAATGGAGAGATAATTCTTTTTGTAAACTTGGCATGACCTACATTATCAGAAGCTTATTTGAAATGCAGAATCTCTGGCTCCACCCCAGACTACTAAATCAGACTCTGAATATTTAACAAAATGCCCAGGTGATTCAAGTTTAGAGAAGCATTACCATGCATCTGAGCTTCTTTATTTCCCCCTGTGGTACTGGGGATAGAGCCCAGGTTAGAGTTGACTTTGTGATTCCCCTGCCTCTGCTTTTCTTAATTACTGTCATGCTCTTCATTGCTTCTTTGCAGGAAAACTTAGATTTGTTGTTATTTCTCCAATAATGACTATTTAATGATTTCCCTCACTCTTCTATTTTTCTATATTTCTTCCCAAGTGCTAACTTAATTTTAATGAACAATCATAGCTCTTTTTAAAAGACATTTTAAATAATTACTCCTAGTACCAATCGTGTACATAATTTAATTGAAACAATAGAATATGAACAATGTGAGCACATTTGTCACAATCCCTGGCTATTAGTAACTGTAAAGTGAAATATTCAATTTCCGATACACAAAATTGTGAACAAAATATATATGCTCTAGAATTAATGAAATATATGGCAAAAATTTTCTTAAGCCCCAGACTTTTCCTATTTGCTGCTTTACTCTTCTCTTCCAAAAAGGGAGATGGCAATGGCATTGAGATTATATTTTTGGCTCGATGTGTTAGGAGATGAGGGCTCTTGGAATATGCAGATAGGGGTAGTAAGCAGAGCAGGGGAAAGAATGTGGAATGGCAGTTCATGTGTCTTCAGGATTAGTGATTCCAATTTGAGAAAATATTTATTTCTTTTAGTGTTAATCCTTGACAGCAAAAACAATTTCCTGTACCCTTGTACTAACAGTTCTTACTTCTCCAGATTCTATGTAGTTCTCTAGGTGGCCTTTTTATTTTGGATAGTTGCATTGCTACAACTTCAATTAGGCATAGTCAGTTACCAGTCTCATAGAGTGGCTCAGAGTGCAAGGACAGAGGAAAAAATCCCATCAAATTTACTTGGCTGGAATAATATAGGTATATGTATTCAGTCTAGTCCAGAATTATTGATTTGCTCATTCCACATTTTTTTTCTGGTAAATTCTCAATTGGTTTGCAGCTGTTCTTTAGGCCAGGCATTACAAAGTTAGACTGCTGAGCATAAGACAGTCCAGCTTCATCTACATGAAAGCTCTCAGATCTTAAATTCTTTCATATTTAATTTCATGCAGATATTTTCTTCCATCTTCCCAAGCTCATTGAAATTCTGCAATATTTCTGGGCAAACTTAACCTATAGGTTATGAATTGGTAGAAGATGTATCCTTTTGAACTTTAATATGTCTTTAAAAATAGGATAATCATGCTGAAAGGCAACCCATGTAATATGTACTAGGTTTAATTTTTTGTAAATTGAATGTATAATCCTTGATAATTTATTTTTTCCTACAGATATTTTTATATTTAAAGTAAGCAATCACTGAGAGAAGCAGTGGAGAAAAACATCCATTTTGTAGACAAAGTCCTATAAGTCTTACAGCTTTTACACATCAAAGAAAAAGAATTTCTTTTTTGGGGGTACACAGTACCCAAAGAGACTGGCTGTGTGCATTTATCTTTAGTAACCCATAGCTACTTGGGAAGCTAAAATGTGCCACTATATCAAAGAGATGAATTCTTTAAACATTCCCACACCATCATCCACATTTCCTTAACAGTTCTTTATTGTGCACTGATGCTGAGACTCCTGTTCTTTTTCCAAGAATATTTGAAACTTTCCACTATAAAAATCACATTATCTAGTTCCAAATAGAACTTGAATACTGAATACTTTTGAGGGAAGAAATAGAGTAGTTTAAAATAAAAAAAACCCAACAGAAAACAAAAACCTTTAATCCAATGATCATTATGAATTTGTAAATACTAGGATGGGAGAGAGGGTAATTTTTTATGCAACTTGACTAGGCTAAAGGATGCCCAGAGAGCTAATAAAATATTGTTTTCTGGGTGTGATGTGAGGGTGTTTATGAAAGAGATTAGTATTTGCATCATTAGCCTAAGTAAAGAACATCCACTCTCACAATTCAGGTGGTCATCATCCAATCTGTTGAAGTCCTGAAAATAACAGAAAGGTGGAGGAACAGTGAATTTTCTCTCTCTACTTAAGCTGAGACAACCATTTTCTCTTGCTTTTGGACTTTAGTACACCTGGTTCTTGGGCTTTTAGACTAAGACTGTGACATACAATATCTACTCCGTGGTTTATAGGCATTTGGATTTGCAACAAATCACCCTTTCACCTTTTTTGGGTCCCTAACTTGCAGATGGAAAATTATAGGACTTCTCAGCCTCCATGAATGCATGAACAAGTTATGACTATTAATCATGATATGTCAACTTCATTGGATTAAGAAATGCCTCACAGGTTAGTAAATTACACTCCATGGTGGGCCATGGAGGTGTGACCTTGGAGTCTGTATCTGGGCTCTGGCTCCTTACTCCCTGGCACTGTTCTCTTGATGTCTTTCTCAGCTACAGCTTTACTGTATCCTCCAAATCTGTGAATCAAATAATCCTATTCTGTTTTAAATTGAACGTGTTAAGTAGTTTGCCCAGCAGTAGAAAAGTTGACTAATACAGAAAAATGGTATCAGAGAATTAAGGTCATTATTGGGACTGTACCTTACCATGTGGTTTAGATGCCTCTGGAACTGGTTTTCAGAAGGAGTTGGAAAGGCTTGGAGATACAGCCCAGAGAAGCCCCAGAGTGCTATAAGTAGAGCTTGATGGGTGATTCTTGGTCAGCAATCAGAACACCAGAATGCTGATAGAAATGAGGAAATTAAAGACCAGGCTCAGTTGGTTTTAAATGGGAATTGACAATTGGACTAGAGGCCATATAGGCCATATATATTACACTCTGGCAAAAAAAGTCTACATGTTGCCTATTTCCTGAAGCTTTGTGGGAGACTAAGATTAAAGGTAATGGATTAATTTATCTGCCAGAGCAAATATCAGTGCAGTCCAATGTCTAGGCTGTAGCATGGGCACTGTTGTCAGCTTTTCGCCAGATGTATAGTGAGAATTGGGAGCAAAAAGTGGAGAGAAAAATTTGAAAGTCTTAAATTTTGACCCCAAAAGGAATGATGTGTAAATCAGGAGCCAAAGGATGCATGGTTTCTGAAGAGATTAGCACTGTTGAAAAAAAATCCAAGTACTTATTCCTGAAACCAAATCCAGGGATAAGAAGAAAGATGGTTGGAGAGTATCTCAGAAATCAGAAAGCTCATGTATTGGCTCAGGGGTACAAAAGTGTCAAATTTCATTTGAGAACAGAGTTTCTGCACCTCCTAGGGAATTGGTTCCCCAAGAGTCACTTTATTGTGCTAAGCCATTCAGGACCACTGCAGCCCTGGTCCAAGGAGTCCTGGCTATTTCTCTCATTGACATCAGATATTGACACCATCCTTTTATGTTGGTTTTACAAGAATTCAGAACGTAAGAATTGTGGAGTCAAGGAGGCTTCCACACTAATGTCAAAGAAAGACCTGAGAGGCCAGGCAAGGAGCTGTTGAGAGGGCAGTGAGCAAAGCAATGGGAATTAAGCCAGTGGTGCAGTGAAGACCCCAAATACTTGGAGATACCAGAAATGTGGAACATCTGCTGAGGAAAGTTGCAGGACATGAGTGGAGCCACCCAAGAAAGAGACTATGCAGCAAGGCCATAGGGCTAGGGTTGTTTAAGCCATCTGAAACTCAAATCTTAGTACCATGTGTCCTGGATACTGGACATAGAATTATAGGACTTAATGTTTGCCTGCTGGAATTTGGTCTTCTTTTAGTCCAATTCTTTTCTACTCCTTATTCCTTCCTTTTGGAATGGAAATGTTTACCTCATTCTATTTTACCTTGAGAATATGTAACTTGGTTTTGATATTTTACAGGGATACACAGTTAAAAGTTTACCTTGAGTCTCAGAAGAGACTTTGGCTTGTACTTTTGAGTGATGCTGGGACTGCTGAGACACAGATTACTCTGTTTCAGTTGTAGGTAGGAAACTTGTACTGTGTTAGGCAGAATTATGACCTTGTATGTTTTAGAGATTAAGTATGGTTTAAGGAGATAATTTGGGTGTCAAGTTGACAAGGGGTGGGAAGTGACATTTTAGCTGGACTGTCAACTTTATTAGCTTGGGTGATGTCCATAGGATTAATAAGGCACACTTGTGGGTGTGTCTGGGTGGGTCACAGAGGAATGACATTAGGATCTATATCTGGTCCCTGGCCCTTTATGCTCTAAGACTGCTTCCCTGCTCTACTTCATAGATACCATGGAAGCACCTTTGTCCTGCCACACCCTTTCATTGTGATGTGTCTGCCTTAGAGCCAGCCAACCATGGGCTGAATCCCGTGAACCTGTGAGCCAAATTAAACATCTCCTCCTTTATGTGTGGTTGTCAGGTAGTTTGTCTTGCAACAGAAAAGCTGACTTATGCACCAATCATTCATAATAATACAAACACACATGCTATTGGTTCTTCTTTTCTGGAGAACTCTGACTAATGTAATAAGATTAAATGTGAGTATATTGAATTCAAACAGACTAGAATTACATTTATGTTTTCTCTGTTCTGATCATGGCAAGCCTATTCACTTTATCTAAAGAATGAAAAAATACTGCTGATATGATCTCATAGACTTTTCAGCAAGCTTGGTGGTTTAATATTTGTGTCAAAACAAATATTTAGTGAATGTCAATGATAATTTATAGAATCTGACCTCTAGCATCTGTAGTATAGAGCTTGACATATAATTGAGATCAGGAAAAATTTCTTAAATGATTGCATTGTGCTAGAAAGATTAGCTTGAGGAATGCATATATATATATATATATATATATATATATATATATATATATATATATATGGTAAGCTAGGGAAGCTAGGGAAATGGTGACAAAATGTGTGTGGCTGTCCATAGGGAGAGGAGTGATGGGGTTGCTTAGGTGAGTCTGGCATACAGGGAGATAATGAGGGCACAAAGTAGGGGAGTCAGGAGATAGATATGAGACTGCAGAATATTTAAAAAATTATGATTGTTTTGATATAAGGCATGGGAAGAAAAGTGTGAAAATGATTAATATTCATAGGAGAAAATTCCAAATAAAGAGTTATTGTAGTTTTTTCGATATTACAAATTAAATATCTTCTAGGACAGTTTATTTACCATAAAAGGATGGTAAAGGCCAATACTGTAGCCAGAAATTTATTTCTTATTGACTCATACACTTATTATATGAGTTAATTTAGGAAAATTAGTATACCTTTTCAAGCTTCATCTTCTTAATTGCTACAATAAGTATCATAATTGTTTTGAAACAAATGTTTTCCTCCCCCAATGTCCTTATGTTGATATCTAAAGCTCATTATGATGATGTTTGATGTAGGACCACGAGAGATAGGTAAATGAGGATGGAGTTGGCATGGATGGGATTAGACCCCTACAAAGAATTCAAAGAACTAGCTTGTTCATTTTCTGTGAAGTGAAACAAGAAGTAGGTAACCTGAATAGGAACTCTTTCAATAACCTGACCACACTGGAACTTGGACTTCCAAGCATTGAGAAATGCTGTTTCCAGTCTTTGTAAGCCACCCATTTAATGATATTTTGTAATAGCCCAAATTAAGACAATAACATTTATAATATTTGTTTTAAAAATTTTTTATTTTATGAAAAAATAAAATTACACAACAAAATAATAAGAAAATAACAATAAATGAAATGCTGTACAGAACTAATTATTTTTCCTTGGTTTTGGTCCAGAGATTAAAAAAATAAATCAAGATGAAGATTGCAGAATATGAGAAGATAATTGCTTTGGAAACATGAATTGTTAAGAAAAAAATATAGTTACGTTTATATGAAGAGGTAAATGCAGAGACTAGAAGGAGGTGAGACTAGCATAGTAGGAGTTTGTAACCTCTTTCTTTTGATGCTAAAGTTCCTAATACCTAGAACAGTGCTAAGCATAGAGTGGGCCTACAATGAATGTTAATTTTGAAGACAAATAAATAATAATCAGTGTGTTGTAGTTTTGAGGAAATCAGAAAAGGTTGGACAGTACAGATAATAGAATTGGAGATACATTAAACATTTGTGATGTTTTAATACATCAATTTCATTCAGCCTAAGGTGAAAGAGAGCATGGTAAAAGAGATGAAGCAGAATAAATAGATGTTGATTGCTCATCCATCAGATGTGTAGTAATATAAAGGTGAGAACTGGAACCATTGGTTTTAATTTAATTTAATTAAAAAAAAATTTTTCCCATTAAGTTTATTGGTACATTTTAGGCATAAAATAGAGTTACATTCATCATTGGGATCTTGTACCATTACACGAGTAACTTGGTTCCTATTTATTTTCCCCCTTCCCCTGCCCTCCCTTCACCCCCTCCAGCCTTCCCTATTTGCAAAGACTTTGTTTCCATTTTTTTCTTTTTCTTATATTTTTTCTTTTCCCTTCTTTCCTTTCCCCT